CTAAATATGTTATTATTAATATAAACAGACTCCATAAGAAGTGAGAAATTTAACTTATCCTTAATATTCCTCAATGCTTCCAATGATAATCTATGTACTACATGCTTAATACTTGTACGAATTAATGATAAACACAAATTTTTAGACTACATAGTGTGGCCCTAGTGTTCTCATCCAGCATGATCTACGGGTTTTAAAGTTCTAAGACGGTAGGGAGAATTTCGGTTCTCTGAATAGCACCACGGGCATATGTACTTTACAAGGCCACAAAAAGAGTCAAGAAGAAAGTAGTTGGTCCATTTTTATGAAAGATTGGTATGACATGAAAGTGTTTACCTCTTTCAACACAAGAAATTCTGGGAAATTCTTATTACAAGAAAAAAAGGATCCAAAATTGGATCTGATGGCCTCAAGATTTGTGTGCTTGCAGGGGGCCTTGCTGCTATATAGAATGATGAGGTTGAATATGGAAAATTCAGGCTAACTAAGGATATTCAAAAGGCAAAACTGCCTACTTATGTGGTATGTGTCTTACTTGTAACAAAATGAGTTCCACGATCCCAAAATGCAGACCATGATGGAAGCCCTATTGATGTAAAGATTATAGGCACCATTTGCTGCCACTTGTTCTATGTTGGTTTTACTACAAAGCACAACAGTCAGATGCAGAAGGCCTTTTCTTCTCACCACTACAGATCCACCAAATTGGCAAGAAGATGATGTAAATCTGGACCTAAGAGATGCAGACAAATGACTTGGAAAGAAACAAATTATTAAACAAATTATTTCCATACATCTTTGATAGAAAGGTCTTGACAATCTATTTTCTTCATGATATCTTTTTTGAAAAGTAGAAGTACTGAAGAAGTCCAACTTGGAATTGGAAAACCTCATACAGTTTTGTGGTGATGGAAATATTTCTGTGAAAGCTTCTGGAAATGAGCCAGTTGTTAAAGTTCAACAAGTCAATGGATAGGAACTGCCAAACTAAGAATTTGTCTAAAATTCAGATTTTAATCATAAGAAATGAAAAGTCTATTATTAAAAAATTCAGGTAAATGGATGTAAATACTAAGAGGAGCAATTAATCTAATAATTGTACACCTTTAATGTGAGTCACAACATTAGTCTAATATTTAAAACTGATCCAGAAGGTGTTGATGACACTCTCTTTGATAGCATCAGAAGATGGCAGTCACCATGGAAATGGCCATCAGTCCTATGTTAGAATTCCTTTCAAAGCACCATGGACTATATATGTACACACACTTATTATGTGTTCATGTGCCCACACACAGAAGCATGGCCCATCCTATATAATCATCAGGAATTTAAAGTTTTGGATTGTGTCTGGCCAAATCAAATACCTTGGATAATCTAGATCTGTCTTTTACTATGGTCCTGCAAGAATTTCCCAAACTACACACCTTCCTATTAGATGTGAATTCAGCATAACTTTGTGTGCAAGTATTTTCAGTAACAAATATCATTCAACTAGAAATACACTGTGTCTTGGAAATTAGTTTGCCTATTTTAGTATGATAACATAGCACAATATTAACACCTGAAAGTGAAAAACTTTAAATTGCTTGCTTTCATGCCTATCCCATGCACCATCATCACTTTCAAATATTGTTTAAAATTGATGTTTTGTGTATAGATGCTTGATTATAACATTGAAATAGCTGTTGAGAGGGTATATGTCCTATCTTTTTCCTTCTCGCATTGTACTTAGCTTAGGCCTTTCATAAATAAATACACAGGCATACATATGCATACACATTTAGTATGCTTATCTGCATACACCTATTAGCGTCTACTTGTTTGAATTAGGTTGTATTTTTTACTCATTGAGGAACAATGCTTAGAGGCAATTACTAATTTGTGTGTATATAGATTTGTCAAGAATAGAAGTTTTCCTCTCTAATAGCAAGTGCCTGATTCCATCTGAACACTTTTAAGATGACTCTTCTGGCTCAGAAGTAAGGGCATGGTAAGAACGTTTCCAGTGCAATTAAGGCTTTCTCTTAGTTTATGACCTATGAGATTGAATCATAGTTTATTGTTTATAAATGGTCTTAAGATTGGCTCTCAAATGCATAGCTTCTTTTTCAAAGTCATATAATGCTTATAGTTTTGGGGGGTTTTTTTTTGGTACCGGGGATCAAACTTGGAACCTTGCGTTTGCAAGGCAAATGGCGGAACCACTGAGCTAAATCCTTGGCCCTAATAGTTATAGTTTTAAATATTATCAATAACTGATGCCATATTTTAAAATCCTCAGCCACAAAAACATTTAAATAGCTCCAAAAATAAAAAAATATTCTCTATTCTGATACTGACAGTATTAACTACATTAATATTCTCAATTTTTCTTCATCTTTTAATTAATCTATACAATTTTACCAAAATATGGTAAGTTTTACTGATCAACTTGAGTATGTTGAAATAAATCAGGAATATATTATTTTCTATAAATATAAATTGCCTAATTATTGACACAGAAGTTTTAGAAATAATGTTATTTCACAACTTATATTTATTTCATGTTTTATATATTAATGAAGTTTGTTTTCTATTCTCAATATTTTGAATATTATAACATTTTAATTTATCTATCAACTGTTCTATTTTTTCTACATTTCTATCACTATGGGAATAGTAAACAATAAAGCTTACTTTTTTTTTTTTTTGGTACTGGGGATCAAACTCAGGTCCTTACACTTGCAACACAGGCGGCAGAACCACTGAGCTAAATCCCCAGTCCTGTTTCTATAAATATCTACTGTAATTTTTGAAATGTCTGTTTTTGTATAAACATGAATAATATTAGGATGGCTTAAGAGCACCTCTAGAAATTACATTGATTTAGTTCATTCATTTGTATTTTTGAGCTGGGGATCAAGTATTTCTGTAGTGAGAAAAATGATACATAGCCACAACTTTCAGCTCTGACATCAAAATAAATACATTACTTTCACATGACTGGTAACTACTGAACTACAGAAATTTAAACAAATGCCACTCTTCTCTGAACATCATCAATCACTTTGTATCAAATCTGATTTGTGGGTGAAATAGGTATATGATTTCTAAATGCATAGCCTATGGTTAAACTCAGAATCACAATCACTAGGTGTGCCATAAGCCATGTGGCTTTGGCAGGTCACTTAGTACCTTAATTGCCCCAATAGTGACATTAGAATGACAACTGGAGTGAGGATATAGTGAGAAAAACATTTAGAAAAATATTTGGCACTTAATAATGCTAGCTACAGTATTTTCATTATTATTACTCTACGTATTAAATGAATTTCATTCAACTCCCACTTAAGTATCATGATTATCTCCACCATTTTATAAATGAAATAAACTGAAAAAATGTCAGTTAACCCAGTAGAATTCACACAATAAAGAGCAGAGAAAGAATTTGAAAGATAAAGACATCTAAATCTAGAGCCTGTGCTTAGACAATGAAGTCATCAGCAGGATAAGTAAAGAGCTATAGAAAAAAAATAATAAACAAAGGAGAGATATATACAGAGCTAATAAAAGTGTCTGATGCATTTTACATATGTGAATTCATTGAAGATAGATAGATAGACAGATAGATAGATAGATAGATAGATAGATAGATAGACAGACAGACAGATGTGTTTTCCTCCATTCTCAGTTTCCTGCTCCTATTTTTACATTTGGCTGTAGTGAATTGCATCAAATCTAAAGTATTAAAATATAAAATAAGGGCAGAATAAATTTCATGGCAGAAATAAACTTCAAATTTGTATGAAAATACAATGTTAAGTTAAAAATCAAAAGTGGGAAATATACAGAAAGGGAGAGAGAAACAAAAGTAATTTCATCTGACACCTTATAACATGGTCTAAACTACCTTGTAATCTGTAATTTGAGGGAATCTATGTGACTGGTTCATCGAAGTCCCAATGAACACCAGTTCACACACATATGATTGAATTCTCTCTACCACACCATAAGACCCTAATAAATGAAGGCATAAATTAAATTCGATCATATAACCATTATGCATGCAATTCCTACTCTCATTAGAGGCATAAGCTCACATTTCATGGAGCTATAGTCTATATTACTCTCTAAAACCAAACATGAGATGAATAGGCCACTAACTATGCTTTATTTTCTCAGCATTAATTTCTTAAACTATGATACTTAAAATACTTTCAACTGCTTAATATTTAAATGAGATTTCTATCTACACAAAAGTGGTTTCTACTTTTCTTTACTAAATTACTCAGTTATGAGTAATGTAATTTATGTATTTTATGAAATTTCTAAGCTAGAAAATATAACAACTTTGATTAAGTTCTGAACACTAATGTTGCAGAACATATCATGAGATTGATAAGATATATGAGTTTTCAAAAGTAGAATGTACCAACTTCTATGAAATTAGGTTTCATATAAACAGAATGCATATCAAAACTCAAAGTCTTCTTTAGTGGCCTTCTAAAATTTAAATGGTAGGTCGCTTTCAATTGGCAGAGATCTGTTCCAGTGGTTTTCCATTTTTAGCACTTTCTCTTTCCTTTTTAAATAAACTCTACTGGAATGAGATGACCAAATCCTCATAGAACTCCATCATCTAAACTCTCAGTCCTCTCCCAAGTCTCCTTCTTTGTCCATTTGTAGCCTCTGAGGTATTGCTCTTCCTCCAACAGCCATTTGAAAGTTTGAAACCCATTATTGAAATGCATTCCTTCTTTTTAAAGTCCAATAAAGGCCAGAAGGAACTAGGATATTTTCTAAGGCAACACAGTGATTTAGTAGCCAAGACTAAAATTTAGATTTCCTGTCATTTAGAGTTCTATAGTATGTCCTTCTTTTTCAAAGTAACTTTGAGTCGATATCTGCTTAAAGTATTCCTGAAGTTTCTAAGTGCTTATATTTTTACATGAATATTGGATATAAGGCACTGAAGTATGCATAGAATTAATTCCAAGAGTAGACTACTTTATACTTACTCTTGTGTTGTTTCTTTCAGCCTTGAGTTCAGAAATTTCTTCTTCTTTTTCCAGAAGTTGTTCCCTGCAGGCATTTAATTCTTTTGTCAGTGCAGCAAATTCCTGGAAGAAGGATGAAAATACTTGAAGACATGTTCAAGATATAACAATATAATTCCAGTGTGGAGAACAAAAGGCAAAATATGAATTTTGAATGAAAATAATGAGAAGAAAATGACCTAGTTAGCTGGCCAATATATATTACTATTATTGAAGTAAATTGATTACATTGTTCAAAAAAATGCTAATTCATGATCATATATATTTTATTACAATAAGCTGCTTAGATGGGTGTATAAAATATTTTTCAAAGACACCATATACTTCATGTTGTATTTAAAATTTATATAACAACTTATTACTAGAATAATTACAATTTGGCTAATTTTGTGAATAGATTTAAAAAAAACAACTCATACTTTGATTCCTCTACAGAAATGTTCAGACAGAGTATAATAGAACATTAAAACAAGAATACAAGTCTGACAAATGAGCTTAGAGATTAAGAAGTGTATTTGTTAACAAGATGAAGAAAGACAATTGAGCTGCCTTACATAATAATGAATATATCAAAGATTTGATAACATTATGTAAGATTTTCTTATTACTGTGTGCATTGCTCAGTCTTTCTGAAGGTAAGCTCCATGTGCACAGGGACTTTGATTTGGTTATTGCTTCACCTCCAGTATCTATGGCATAGTGAGTGTCCAAATAACATTTATTTTTAATAAGTGAAAGTTGGTCATATTGTAACCAACAAAAGGGGGGGTTGGGATTTCTGGATTAATCCTATCTTCACGTGGTTAATAACACTGTGAAGAAATCTTCAGTGGCTTCCTTTCTAAAAACGATATGAGAAATCATGTGATTATGAATAATTTTACCATTAAGTGATGAATTTAGGTACAAAAAGATTATATTTAATAAGATCAAGAATTCTAATTTAACTATTCTGGCCCTCTAAATTATACACAAATATTGTTTATTTTTAAAAAAGAATTGTACATATATACAGATCATCTTAAATCCTTTAGAATGTCTTGAGTGGTGAAAGTAATGCTTATCAAATATATAAGTACATAGGAAACTTCGTTCTAGGTTGAGAAGGCACTCCCAGGAAAGAAAAAGGAAAAGGCAAGGCAGGAAAGGAAACAGGTTTTGTTCCTTCAACTGCATGGACGCAAACTCTAAAGTTAAAGTAAGTGAATGTGATGATCCTGCAGAACTGGGAAAGGTTTAAGGTTTATATTTTCATTTGCTTCAAATTATTATTTTGCTGAGTTTCTCTGAATGACATCAACCCTCTGGGTACTTCAAAGACCTTAGAGTACATTCTAAGGCTTAGAATCTAACTGAAGGAGTTCACTGTTACATGCTGGCGGGGATCACATATATTTTCTCCCCTGATTGCTCCAGTTTAATTGTTAATACTTTCTGAGCATATTATTTAAGAGGAGAATGGAAATAAGAAAGAAGTACAAAGCAGTAAATCTCTCTGTAAAAAATGAAACTTCATATATTGCATAACTTTCACACAGAAGTGATATATAGTCTAAATTTTATATTATTAACCTACAAACATAAAAATAATCCTATATTCATCTATTATAAGAGTGACTAAGATATAACATGATCAAATTTTTATGCTTAGCAGTGATTCTAAGTTTTAAGGTTAATCTTAAGTTTATTAACTTCCTAGCAAATTTCAGGAAACATTCTCATATTCCATGTTTTATCTTGCTCTTTAAATTCTTGGTAAAGAAGTCTCATTCTTATTTGATGGCTGAGGAAAATAAATTATTAACATGTAAGTCTAAATTTAAAAAGCTCACATGTTATCAGAAATGAGTCAGTTCTGAGCAGAGATCTTTAAACTGCCAATTTAGTGTTTTTCTTGTATTTCATTTATTTCACTTTGAACCTTACTTGTCCTGCTTCTTTTAGATACTAGTTGGTTTTTTTTTTGGGGGTTTTTTTTTTTTTTTTGGTACCAGGGATCCAACTCAGGATCTTGCACTTGCTTGCAAGGCAGGTGGCAGTGCCACTGAGCTAAATCCCTGGCCCTGATACTAGCTTTTTAAACAAATTCATTTCTTAAAGTACCAGCCTGCTTTTGTTAATGTCCCATAATAACTCATGGTGTTTTATAACAATTAAACTATGTGTTTAATTTCTCAAACACTATGATTCTTTAAGGCAATGCTATTTCATTCATTTTTACATCCTCAGGTCTTAGAATAAATTCCTATTATAGATGAATTATACCTTTGACCTTAATATCAAAATAATTTAAAAAGATATTACTTAATTTTCCTTGTTTCTCTAAGTGACAGCATTATAATTTATATATTATAAAACATATATGATGGACTCTTTATAATTTTTGTTTTTGTTTGAATCCAAAACGCACACTATCATATTCTACACAGTACTTCTCTCTCAGGTTTTATTACATTTATGTGAAGTGATGGAGAACTGCCTTGAAACTGCCAAATTAAACACAGTGTTCAGAAAATTGTCTCTGATCCTGGTAGTTTCATCAAACCAGTATGTGGTATGCCTCTCAGCTGGGAACAAGCTAACACTAGTGCTGAAGCTCATGACTCTGAAAGCCCAATGTTTGTGCTGACTGCAGAGACAGTAGTGAAAGAAAACTACTGTACCTGAAAGAAGGCGAATGAGGAGAAAGCAATAATAAAAATATTTTCTATTACTTAGTGCTTAGCTTAGTAATTTAGTTTAACATTTTCTAAATGTATAGACCACATTGGCCTTATTCTTTCTCAAAGTAAAAATACATGTTTAATCCACATGCTATTTCTCTAGTCTAGCTAGCATTTCTCAAAACCATGTTCTTAAGACAATATTTCAACAAAATTCTCCCTTTCCCTCCAAAAAAATTCATAGCCAAATAGATCTCAGAAAAAATGTATGCTTTTTATTTTGATCTTGGAAATTTATAAATGGGTATGAGAATATGTAAAATTCTGTGGAAAGTTGCTTTTGTTGCCAAGAATTGGGAACAACCTAGATTGGTGTATAAGGAAATGAAGGAATTAATATAGTAACTACACATGATGGAATATTGTATAAGGAACCAGATAAATAGGTTAGATATTTATATAGAAAAACAGAAAGATACTATTTGAAAGATATTATTCTGAGCAAATAGGTAAGAAAAAATGTAACATGTAACACAGTATCATCAGAAGTTGAAATAATGGTGAATGATGTTAGAAAAAAGATAATTTGTACTTCACTTGTCTAAAATGAAAGAGCCCATAGGAAAACCTAAGATTGCTTTGAATCACTGAAACAAAAGAAGTACAACAATTACTAGTCAAACATACGTTCATCAACTTTTCAGACCAGTAATTTTTTCTTTAACCATAGCTAGCCAAATTCTTACTTTCCCCAAGGAACAAAATTATTTTCTCTACTCTATATTTTTTCTTGGAATTTGAAAGAGTGGTTAGGATCTAGAAAACACAGTACCATAAAACAACCTCGGACCAAAGGGGTGGTGCCTTGCTCCTCCTTAGTATGTAGTCATGCATAATAAGCATGCACAACCCTAAAAACACTCACTGCACGTGGCACACTCTTCTAAGCATTGGGAGAAAGACATTTAGAAAAGAAATTAAAGACACTGCTGTTGGTGTGCTTATATTCATTTAGCCATCCAATGCTCAAACTACTTTCCTCTGGAATAAACATTTTCTAGCCACATTAAATCCTTCTCTGAATTAAGTCATGATGTGGAGCACTGGGTCCTTTAAAAAAGAGAGAAAAATAAAATACCTTTTTCCTGTTAATATCTTTTAAAATTTTTGATGGTATCATTTCTTAAATACCAACACAAATCTATTTTTTGTGTGCTTCCACTTTTAAATTACAGATATCTTAATTTATATAAAATCCAAGTTCCCCTATTTCAGCAAAGTTCTCAGTGTTACCTTTTCTCCCAATGATGTGCCCCATTTTTCTCATAAACTATCATTTTTGGGCATTTGTTTTATGCTAGGGACATTTTCAGAACTTGACATATGTTGTATCATTTATTCATAAAGACAGCCTTATTATTCCCAGACCACCGGAGAGGATATTAAAGAAAGAGATTGGATAAAGTTATTCCAGCAAGGCCCATCTTGGTACAGTATCAGTGATGATACCCACATCCCCACATCTGTCTGTCAGATCCCAGAACAAATGTTACCCTGGGTTGTGTCTTAACCGTGGTATCAACCTTGTGTGTTGACTTCTGACCCAAAGAGAAACCTGACTCATCCATAATTCAAGTATCTGAGCTGTTAAAAACTCAACTGATAGCCTTTAGGTCAATGGGTTGCTCTTAATCTATTGAATGCAAACAGGCTTCTCTTGTTTTGGTCCCTGCATGTTGTTCCCAAAGTGAAAAGTACATTGGCTAAATAAATAAATAAATAAATAAATAAATAAAAGTACATTGGCAAAGTAGAGAGTCAGTTTTTATTCCCACTTACACTATGTAACAGAAATATGGACAGGCGAAGACAGAGCATACAGATTCCAAATTTTCTCTGCCTTCCTTCCTCTTCTCCTCAATTCAAACCTCTTTTGACTTGGCAGGTAATTGCATCCTATCAGGCTTCAGTGCTAGGTGCAGCACATTCCACTCTTATCCACAGTCTTCTTTAAGTACATTCTGATATTTAATACTACACATAGAAGGACTAAAAGAGACTTTAGCATTCCCTGGTTCATTTTATATGTGTGCTTATTTGAGGAGGCATAATTGGGATAAAAATATTTCCTAAATATTTCAAAGGCTTTGATTTAATACATGGATCCATACCCCAGGAAGGCAGGTCACCAGAAGCTGCATGACAAGAAGGAAGTTTACCCTTTCAATTTCAATTGAATGACACCTGGCAGTCCCCAGAGAAACATCTGGCAATCCATTCATTTTTGATGGCAGTTTTATCACTCTTTACCTTTCAATTAAACCTGAAATCTCTAATTATTTAATGAACCAACAATAACTTTATATCTGCAATCATATATCTGAATGAGCCAAATAATCA